GAGCCTCCCAGAAGTGACAGAAGGATTAGGGACATAAAGGGCTCAGTCATTCAGAGGACAGGGAGGTCCTGAAACAACCTATAGTATAGTCACGTGTTGCCTAATGAAGGGGTATGTTCTGAGGAATGCATTGTTGTGTGAACACCACAGGGAGCACTTACACTAGATGGTGCAGCCTACTACCCGCCTGGACTATACAGTATAGCCTATTGATCCTAAGCTACAAACCTGCACAGCATGGTACTGAATACTGTAGGCAACTGTAACACAATGGTTAAGTATTTGTTTATCTAAACACAGAGAAGGTACAGTAAAAATATGGTATTACAACCTTATGGGGCCACTGTGGTGTGTGCAGTCCATAGTTGATTGAAATGTCATTATGTAGCATATGACTGTAGTTGATTCTAACTTGTGATGTATTAAAATTCTCACTTTTCTTAGCCTAAGACACTTAAAATATTTCATGGAGTGTTGTTTCCCCAAGACAGCTACCTGGTTATGACGTCTTTATTTTGTTTGTTTAAGAACGGCCAAGGCCTGAAGGCAAACCAGTATGTCATCATACCCTTGGTCCATCACTGGCGGTTTAGATCATCAAGATTCATTACTAGGTACACCTTCCTGTCCAAACATGAATTATGAAAAAGATCTTTACTCCTAGGGGCAGCTGTTCACTGCTGCTGCTAAACTGTAGCATTAAGAGTATTTGATTTATCAAGATAAGAAGACAAAAGACCAAGCTTGAACATAATCACTTTTCAAACTGCTTGCAAAGCATTCAAAGTGGGGAAAGACAAGGAGGGGAAAAGTTCCTTTAACTAAAATTAGAAACCTACTGATAATTTAAAAGAAACTCTTTACATTTACTCAAAATATGTTACTGAAGATATTTTATCTCCACTAGAATATAATTTCCCAAACATTATTCAATTAAAATATCTCAGAAACAATATGAAAACTGATTAATCAACTGCCTATAAAAATTTCTCCAAGTAGTTAACATCAGCAAAATACAGCCATCATTCAGTGCCACTCGGATCCTGCTTCATGGTTTTTATGTGTGTCTTTCCTTGTTCAGATCCATTAAATCTTTCTATTACCAGACAACATAGAATATCATATACATAAAATGAAACTCTTATTTCCTTTGTATATCAAGATGAATCTCTCCTTTAAATAATATAGTCCAACCCAGCATATGGGATAGGGAGGAAGGGGGATATAATTTCATGAGAAAAGAGAAGGACTCAAACAATATCAGATTTTGAAACAGTCTATAATAGAAACAACTACTACTACAAAATATGAGGAGTGTTAAATTTCCTTGTTTCAGTTTGTCTGAAGTTGTCCAGAATACTTACAGATAATCTTGCAATGGAATTTCAGTATGAAGATCTCTAAGAAAAAGATCCGGATTAAGTTCTTAAGCTAGTAAATGTGCCCCTCTACAGATGAGAAAGTAAATGCATCAAGGGATAAAGGCTGTCCCCCAAGAAATGAAACAGATGACTCCCTCCCATCTGAAAGATAAGGATGTCTCTGGAAAACTCAGGATGCCTAGTTTGAAGTTGTCCAAGACTCATCAGTTTCCAGCACTTAATACTGATGTGGTATTTTGTAACCCTTAATGCAGTGGTCACAGAAGGGACAACCCTTCTATGATGGGAAGGCAGTGAACCCAATTATTCCCATCAAGGTGGGATGCACAAACATCCCGTTCAAATGAAGGTCAGCACAGCAAGCAAACAGGGACCATGAATCAAGCTTCCAGGTCATGAGGGAAGGCAGTGGCATGGAGGCTGTGTGCTCTGCGGGGACAGAGGACCCTCCCCTCAGCATGTCCCTCCTATTCATGGCACCCTCTCTTCATTATCACCTACTTGCAAAGGGGCCCTGCAAGCCTATCACAGAGCGGCTCAGTGAATCCAGAGATTCAGTTCGCTCAACAGACCTAAAAGCAACACTCTCCTTAATTGTAGGCTCCACCAGGAAAAGATTGTACTGTCATATGCACAGAGTTGAAAAGAAAGATTGCCTAATAGGAAGGACACTGAGTGCTCTACCATGATTTCAACCAAATTTTCTTTTTCTTTTCTTTTTTTTTTTTTTTGAGATGGAGTCTCACTCTGAAGCCCAAACTAGAGTGTACAGTGGTGCGATCCTGGCTCACTGCACCTCCACTTCCTGGGTTCAAGCAATCCTCCCACCTCAGCCCCCTGAGTAGCTAGGATTACAGGTGTGCACCACCAGGCCCGGCTAACTTTTTTTGTATATTTAATAGAGGTGGGGTTTCACCATGTTGGCCAGGCTGGTCTTGAACTCCTGACCTCAAGTGATTCGCCCACCTCAGCCTCCCAAAGTGCTGGGATTACAGGCGTGAGCCACCACCTATAACCAAATTGATTACATGTTACTTTTCCCAAGAACCTGCCAAAAGAATTAAATAAATCATCCACTGTTTTTACTCAGCTCCTATCTCAGGCCGCTTTCTTCTAAAGGGGCCAAGGTGCAAGTTAAGCATCTGAAATGAAGAGGCTGGCAAAGTAAACCATACATCCCTGGTTTTCTCGAACTTCATCACACAAAGGAAAAGTCAAGGCTGTAATCCACAATAAGGAGATTTATCTGCAGAAAATAAACTATCAAGAAAAGAATAAAGCAACATCATCTTCAATTAAAATCAAATTCAACAGTTGTCTCCTATGTCTCCGTTCACCTAACTATGCAGTACTTAGAGCCATCCATAGTCACCGTGCCAGGGTTAAAGTTGGGTCAGGAGTGGCCGGGCCTGCCTGCAGCCAGCCCATTTTTGCAGCATTTCTCTTGTCAGGCAAGAACCAGAATGACTCTCCAGAAGCTCTGAGTTAAGTACCTCTCCTTTAAAAGCAAATTAAAAGTAGACAGGCCGGGCGCGGTGGCTCAAACCTGTAATCTCAGCACTTTGGGAGGCCGAGACGGGCGAATCACGAGGTCAGGAAATCGAGACCATCCTGGCTAACATGGTGAAACCCCGTCTCTACTAAAAAAAAATGCAAAAAACTAGCCGGGCGAGGTGGCGGGCGCCTGTAGTCCCAGCTACTCGGGAGGCTGAGGCAGGAGAATGGTGTAAACCTGGGAGGCGGAGCTTGCAGTGAGCTGTGATCCGGCCACTGCACTCCAGCCTGGGCAACAGAGCGAGACTCCATCTCAAAAAAATAAATAAATAAATAAAAATAAAAAATAAAAAGTAGACAGCCCAGAAATCCTCTTCCTAACGGTGTTGGGTCAAACACCCTGGTGAAGAAAGGAAGGCAGAGAGCAACAAACACTCCAGTCTTGCAGCTATATTCTATAAAGTCTTCTTTGTTAAATAAAATGTATAGGAGTCAATGGTTTGGACTGAGCTCCTGTACTAGGCCCAATAGCCCAAACTGAAATGGAGTCACTCATGTTAAAGTTCCACGTCACCAAGCTGAAACTAATTTCTCTATCTGACCTTGTGGGGAATCCAAATGAGAGTAAATAGTTAAATCTCCAAACAAGCCAGTTTTACCTGACATGATAAATTGAGTTCCCTCTGCTTTAACCTTTATAAGGAAAGTAACTCTGAAATGACCAATCTGCTTTTTGTTTTCTGTTTCTGTTTTCTTCAACCATTCTCTATCTATAAAACCAACCTCCTCTGCCCAGCTCATTGGAACACCCGTTCTATTTTATAAAATGAGTTGTTATCCCATTCTAGAACTGCAAATAAAGCCAATCATGATTTTTAATTTTTTTCTTTTTGATATCATGAAAGCTCAGTTAGCAAATGCTGAGTCATTGTTTCTAGGGAAATACAAGATTAGGGTCCTACAAGCTTCTGGTCACATTTTCATCAACCGATCAATACATTATCTTGTTTTTTGTGTGTTTCTGTTTAAAGACATCTTAGTGAATATATTGTTGATTCATTAACACTGAACTAATCGCCAACAGCACTATAACTCATGTGTGAACAAAGCTCATCTAACACATATTTTCTCTGTAAGGCACCTCACAGCCTTCTTGCATTCAGGAACACTGGGTATCCCTCTAACACTACGCTTTGGGGTCATTTTCAACAGCAAAATTACAAATAAAAAGGACAAAAATTCAAAACAAAAAACTGGCACAAAAAGCCTGTGAAAAGGAGCCATGTTTACAGCACAAGAGCAGAAACTGGAAGGCAGAATGTGGTCTCCTTCAGCTTTGGCTGGGAGCACACGTTGGGCAATACAAAATTTTCCCAACCTGCATATCCCTGGGGATGACCACAAAAGCACGTGAAAACTGAATTGTAGGTTACAAAAAATGTGAATATCTGAATTCACAAATACAGAATCTGTGAATAATGAGGACTGACTGTATTTTTAAAACCATGCCCAAACCAGCTGCCCAAACTGAGTGTCAGAATAAATCCATAGCCCTAACAAACACAACTTCACCTTACAGCAAACTTCTCCTGTGCCTATGGAATCCTCACATGCCTTATGAACCTACTCAAAAGTTAACCTCGGTAACAGAACTGATAAGAGATTAATTAGAATGGCAATCCAGCTGTAGGGAGCCATGGGAAAGAAAAGGAAAGACAACTAAAAATCATTCTGGCAGCAGCTTTTGTCTCGTTTAAAAGGTACAGACAGGAGAAGACCTGCAAGTCACTTAGAGCAACAAACATGGCCTTACCTGAGGGACATGCTGTCATTTTGCAAGCCAGTCATACATACAAACACCAAGACCTTTACACTCACAGTCTCCATGATGCAGCAATACATCTTTTTTACAAAATTGACTTTGTGATATTTTGTCTGGATTCCTGAATAGAGTGATGTGGGGGGTGGAATATGAACATTTACCAAGCAGCTAATGCCAGGCACTATGTCAAGAACTTTACCTTCATTACCTCACTGAATTCTCCCCAGCCTGGTAAAATGAATTTTCTCTTCTCCACTTTAACCTCTTGAGCTAAGGACTCAGAGAGGTTACATCAAACACCATTTTATTTTTAAATAAAATAATTTTATTTAAATTTTATTTCCTTCAAGTGGCTAACATAACCCGAGAGATTGTTTGGGTACTTCAACTAGTTGAGTATTCAATTAATTACTTTAAATAATTACTAATGATTACTTTATAAGTATTTCTTATAAACTGGATTCATGAGTTTTCCTCTAGGTACGGATCTTTCCCCGTAAGAAACGAGGGAAAAAAGTTTTCTCTTTACAGAGACTTCTCTCATCTCTAGTCACAATTCTTTAACTGTTTCATGGAAGACTGGACACACATCAAGCAGCACTCAGCAGACATCTTCACCCTGACTCCTATAAGAGTGTCACTTCACCCTCGGTGCAAAACTGGCCCTAAGCAAGTGCCTAACCAACGTCTGTGTGCCAGGCTTCTCCAGCTCTGAACTCTGAAGGCTTCCCCACAACTGCAGGAGAGATACACTGTTGAATCCGAATGCTAAGTCTGTCCACATTACTTAGCGTGAATAAGCATTTCAGTAAGTTTTACTTGGAGTTGGAAAGATGGATTGGTTGCCAGCACGACAGCACCACCTTCTGGTTGGTGAAAAGGAATTAAGACACAAAGTCACATCTGGAGCATTTCAAGTTTTGTAACCCAGATGGGTGGCAAAGTTGAAAATGTAGTTTCCATAAAATCCGAACAATGTCAGTAGCAACTAAACACCCTCACAGATCAGTCACGGAATAGAAAACACTTTAACTATAGGTCACTACTGGCTACTGCTCCACTTCTGGGCACACTGCAGCCACTCCTAGTCTCTCAGCCCTCTGACATTGGAGCCCGCTGCGCCCTATGAAAGAAATTCCTTATCGTGTCATCAGAGTCACATCCATTCCCCTGGTTGTGCAAAAAGTTCTCTGCTGTTTACAAAGTCCAAATGTGATGGTGCAGCAATAAAGTATCAGACAGTGGCCCAACCGTATCTCCCACTGGTACTTGTTGGCAGGTAGGAAGTATCGTCCTCTGATGGTTCTAACGAGGACTATCATCCTCTTATGGAGCCCATGAGGACTCGGCATCGCCTTCCTGTTCCGCTCAAGCATGGGACTCCTTGGTAGACTGTGCTGGAGATGGATCTTGGGTGTGAGGTCCAAATGGGGCTTCCTCCTATAGGTGATGCCATCCCTACAGAAATCTAGAAATTTAGACCACAAGACCCCATTATGACAGCTGCAAGTGGCCTCTAAACTCTAAATGAATCCTTAATCTCAGCTTCCAGAAGAGACCCCAGCAGCTGGTTTCCAGGCCTGCCTTCTTCAGTGCAGTGGCCCCATCCACTTGTCAAATGGCCCTTGGGTGTCAGACTCTTCCAGATTCTGCTCATCAGGTAAGCTATTCATCCTGCTCCCTCAAGGAGAGCCAAGCAAGGTGGATGGAGAGAGGACTGTGCTTTAATCACGACATCCTTCTCTTGTTGAGCAGCACAGAAGTCTCCTCCAGACCTGTGGAGACCACAGGGTGAAGGAATGAGTATTTCTTCCTGAAGTTGTCCACAGGAATCCCGAGCCCGAGGCTGCTCTAGAGAGAGGCAGCACCTGAGGAGGAAGAGCTCTGCCAGTTACCTCTGCTTCCCTCCAACCCACCAACACCTGCCACTGTGCTTTGCACACCTGGAAAATAATAATTCTTCTTTAAATGAGGACTTTAATCTATGCTTCTCCTGAACTGCCTGAGTTCAAACTTTGTTTACCATAACGCTCAACGAGAAATCCACGTGCATTATAACTCAGTACACGCACGTACATCTGTATGTACAGAACTAACCCTGAAAAAAAGGTTACATTAAGAAAAAAAACCTATCTTTATTATATAAGACACACTGACATTTTTTAACTTCTTCCATTTTATTAAGAATGCTGGTCACCACTCACTCAAATGACTTCACAACCCAGTGAGGGAGTGCAACCCTCACTGGGTAAACACTGTTGTAAACTTCTGCCTTCGTTCATCACTCTGTTGGGTGCCTTGCTCCTCTCTCTTCTTGGCTATCCCAGAATTGGCCCCTTTCCAAGGACTGTACCAAGACCTCTCCTCAAAGTCCTCTCCAGCTCTGTGCCAGCACCATCCCAAATGCCAAGGATGGAGAACAATGACTAAGACATAGTCCCCATGCCGAGAACCCAAAGTCTACTGGGTGGGAAACACTGATACTGCCTCTTCTTCTGAAGACAAAAACACTTGTTATCTGTATTCATTCATTCATTCATGCATTCATTCATCCATTCCCCACCTTGACTCACTCCCACATCATTTGTGGAAACAACAGTTTACATTTGTCAAAAGGTAGGCCAGGCACGGTGTCTCATGCCTGTAATCCCAGCACTTTGGGAGGCTGAGGCAGGCTGATCACTTGGAGTTTGAGACCAGCCTGGCCAACACAGGGAAACCCCGTTTATATCAAAAAATACAAAAATTAGTTGGGAGTGGTGGTTAGTGCCTGTAGTCCTAGTTACTCAGTTAGGCTGAGGCAGGAGAATTGCTAGAATCCCAGAGGCAGAGGTGGCAGGAAGGCACAGGTTGCAGTGAGGCGAGATCACACCACCACACTCTAGCCTGAGTGACAGCACAAGACTCCGTCTCAAAAAAAAAAAAAAGATGAATCCATCTAATAGGGTTTCCTTTTTTTGCAATCTTGTTTGTCAAGGGATAATTTTCATGAACTCTAAATTAAGAACTGAAGTGCACTGTCACTGATTCTTGGAAGCCAATGGGCCATTTATTACCCTATGTAGCATTTATAGATGTGGCAGCTTCCCAGATAAATTCAATTTGGCCTCAGCCTCTTAGAAAAGGTTGTGAACTAGAGTACATGCAAAGACTAACCTTCTACACACTTAAAAATACATAGAAACTGTTTGGGTACATCTATCAGTTTCATCTACTTTTGACTTTGTGCTACCATGCCACCCTACAGACATGGGAAAGAGTGTACAGAAAGATCCCATTTCTTTTCAAAAAAAAAAAAAAAAAAAAAAAGGCAGGTGTGGTTGCATGCACCTATACTCCCAGCTACTTGGGAGGCTAAGGCAGGAGGATCGAGGCAGGAGTGAGCTATGATTGTACCGCTGTACTCCAGCTTGACCCTGTCAGAGTGAGATCCTGTCTTAAAAAATAAAATTAAATTAAAATATAAAACTTGCTTTAATCAAGAATAAATACATCCCCCCAACCAACATGAGAGCAAAGTTTAAACAAGGGACAAAATTCAAACTCTGATTTTTAACAAATCAAATAAAATCCGTGTTTCCACGTTCTAGCTCCCCCCTGCCCCACAGCTGCTTCACTCCACGTGCCCTCTGTTTCAGTCATGCCAACACAATCCACCACAGGTTTCTCAGCCTTCCTCTACTAAGCAACTCCAACTCAGGACGGGAGGGCAACACAGCCATCACCATCATCTCCTCCAGAAACCTTCCCTGGTGACCCTCTTCTGCATCTTCCTGCCAGTTTGAGCCAGTTCTCTCTCCCCAGCAACTTCCCTTTATCACAACACTCAGTGGCCACTGATGCACTGGTTGTCTACACGCCTGTCTGCACCATAAGACACCGATTTCTTGAATGGAAAGCCAATTATTTCATCGACCACATCTAAATTCAGTCCCTCAGTCCTTCAACAGTACAAAGGCAAATACTGGCCAAGCATGGTGGATCATGCCTGTAATCTCAGCACTTTAGGAGGCTGAGGCAGGCAAACTGCTTGTGTCCAGGTGTTCAAGACCAGCCTGGGCAACATGGTGAAACCCCATCTCTCCTAAAAATACAAAAAATTAGGCATGGTGGCATGTTCCTGTAGTCCCAGCTACTCAGAAGGCTGAGGTGGGAGGGTAATCTGAGCCCGGGAGGTCAAGGCTGCTGTGACCCAAGATTGCGCCACTGCACTCCAGCCTGGGCAACCGGAATAAGACCCTGTCTCAAAAAAAAAAAAAAAAAAAAAAGGAAAATACTTAACACAAAGAATAATACTGCAGGTTTCAAATGAAAGCCATTGTTTAAAAAAAAAAAAAAAAAAAAAAAAAAATCTTGCAAACTACCTTCCTACTTATTCTGTTGTTACTACAAAAAACACTAGGCATATAAACATATGGTATCTAAACTACACAAGGATAAATCAGTAAGAAATAAGAGGCTTACAGTTCATCTTAAAATATAATGAAAAAAGTGCACACCTAAATGTGCACTTCAATGTGCACTAAAAGCGATTCAAACTTATTTGGGGCATTAATAGACAATTATTTAAATTAGCGATATTCTATAATGAGCTCATTTTCCCCCCTACATAATATGCTACAATCATTTGTTTCTCTTCTCTCTAAATTATCTACATAATATCAAAAAAGGACTTATGGGAAAAATCTCATTTTCAGTTTTTTTTATATGACAGTGTCTTTCTATGTTCCTTTACATAGCAGAGTAGCAGCTGCTCCTTGGCCTCTGACGCAATTTGAAAACAAGTTTCTGTGAAGTTCCCCACATCGCTCCATTTCACATGCAGAAAGGATTAAAGGCATTCCTACTATTAATAGCTGGACTGTACAATATAAAGTTTCATTCCTAAATTTTTTTTTTTTTGAGACAGAGTTTCACTCTTGTTGCCCAGGCTGGAGTGCAGTGGTACCATCTCGGCTCACCGCAACCTCCGCCTTCTGGGTTCAAGCGATTCTCCTGCCTCAGCCTCCCAAGTAGGTGGGATTACAGGCGTGCGCCACCACGCCTGGCTAATTTTGTATTTTTAGTAGAGACAGGGTTTCTCCATGTTGGTCAGGCTGGTCTCAACCTCCTGATCTCAGGTGATCTGCCCGCCTCGGCCTCCCAAAGTGCTGGGATTACAGGCGTGAGCCATCGCACCCGGGCTAAATAACTATTTTAAGTCATGTTTACTTTTTACAATCTTATCACCTGAAAGTACTCACTAACGCAGATGTTAGTGAGTACTAGATGAGATGTGGGTAAACCCCTGGTCTGAGGTGCTCAGGTCACCACCACCATTAACTTTAAGTTACCTAACACTCCAGTGGTCTAGCATTTGCTAGTGTTGTTGCTAAACAAAATGAAGTGACATTCACTCTGCTATTAAAGTGATGTTTGGGCTTCTTTCCAGGATACACAAATTACATCTTTTCTAAGGAAAGACAGGTTGTAAAAATACTCAACAGTGGAAATATTATCAATAAACATCACAAATCAAAAATGTTTAATAGATTCTTTTTCAGAATAGCAGATTTAAACCAAAAAGTTGATGGAAAATTCAGAGAAACTAATGCTATACATTTTATGATTAGAAAAAAGATGCCATAAAATAATTAGTCAGCAACAAAAAAAGGGCTACAGTTAGTTCCCGCTTATCTGTGATTTTGCTTTCCAAACTTTCAGTTTCCTGCCGTAGAGTATGATAAGATATTTTGAGAAAAACAGAGCATATATACATAGCTTTTATTAAGAATATTGTTATAAATGTTCTGTTTTATTGTTGGTTATTACTGTTAATCTCTTCCTGCGCCTAATTTATAAATTTAACTTTATCATAGGTATGTACATATAGGAAAAACTGAGTACATACAGGTTTTCATAACATCTGCAGCTTCAGGCATCTGATTGGAGCCTCGGAATATATCCTCCATGGATGAGGAGGGACTACTGTACTCTGCTAGCCATATTAAGAGTTTTAAAAGCAAGATGTTTCTCTTTGCTGTGTTTCTTTACTTATTTAAAAAACAAAAAAGCATGTAATGCTTTTTTAGTCTTAAATTTAAAAATTGTATTACACATTATTCACTATGGAAAAATCAGAAAATAGAAGAAAACATAAGAACATAAAATCCATCTATAGTTCCATCACCCTAAGAGATTTATCGGTAGCATTTTTGTTACAAAATAATATTATATTCTGGATTAGCCATTTATATAACAAAGTCCTCCAAATACATTTTACTTACATTTCAAATTTGCTAAAATCAGATTTTATTTTTTAAAACTGTGAAGTTGTAGAGAACAGGAATCATGTATGAGAAAACAATGTCAACATGTAAAGACTAGAACAGCTAATATTAATCAATCACTTCATTATATCTACCGACAAAAACAACAACAAAACATTAAAAGCCTCAGAAATAAGGATCAGAGAGGCATGTTTCCTTATATTCAGTTTCTCAGTGGCCTGAGAGCAAACTGGCAGATTAATCTCACTGCTTTGCATCTCCTATTATCACCAGAGTCCTAAAATATTTCCAGAGAGTGAATTATGACCGTGGCACTAAACAAGGCACAGTGGTACCTGCTTTCTAAAGTGTGCTGTGCAATCTTGATACTACAGATGTACTGTATACTTAAATACTACACACACAATTGAAAAATAAATATCAAATATGAATCAGCAATTATCTTTATTAATAAAGAGAAGGGTACTAAACAACTTTTTCCTTTTCTATGTAGTTTTAAATTTTTT